CTCGCGGTGGGAAAACAGCCGGGCGCCGCACCGCACGGCGGGAAAACGGCCGGACGCCGCGCCTCGCGGTGGGAAAACAGCCGGGCGCCGCACCGCACGGCGGGAAAACGGCCGCGGACCACGTGTCAGGGGCGGGAAAATGGCCGTACCCCAAGGCGGAGTTCGCACATCGAGGTAAATTTTTGCAACCGGAGCTGGTCGTAACCCGAAAAGTTTGTTAGTAGAGGCGTTCGTATCCCGAGGTACCACTGTACTTTACTGTGTCTCCCCACTTGCAGAATGCAAGATGCGATTTGTGTATAATAAGTACAATAAGCTTTTTTCCCCCCTCTCTCTTTTCTTAGTCTCTCATAACATTTCAGTTTGTTGGATTAAAAGTGCCTTCCCCATCTGATGGCATCCAAATGTGTTGCTGAGTAAGGGTCATGGAGTTGAAGTTCAACACATTTGGTTGACACAAGATTGGGGAAAATTAGACTACTCTATTAAGAGCTGCCATTTGAGAGGCCCAGCTCTTATTTATGATTCATGATTTCTCCAAAATCTTTTGTTTTAATGTTTGTAGAGATAAGAGTTTCAAAGTGTTTGGAAGCCATACCTTTATTAAATCTATAATTTAAACTATTTGAAGTTTTAGAGCTATTCTTTTTTTTTTCACTGCGTTTCTTGATTTCTCAGGGAAAAAATTAATCCATATGACAATATCATGTTTATTTTTAACAAAGAGACTATGGCTACTTTGACATCTCAGAAAATATATTTAACATGTGGTTTTAAACAGGAGCAAGGTGTTTCCTTTCAAAATCTTTAATTTTTCAAAAGTACCATAAGGCCTACAATGAAGTGTTTTAATTCTGTTATGATGATATAATTTGAAGCAATTTATTTACTTTGCATGTGTAATTACACTTTTTTTTTTTCCATTTCCAGGGTCCTAATTCAATCATGATTGTCCTGGTAATGCTCTTGAATATTGGCTTAGCCATTCTTTTCATCCATTTCCTAACTTGATTGGAATTAAGAAAGGTAAGAATGCTCTTGTACTTCACATAAAAAAAATTCTACTCTCCCCCAATATTTTTCCAATTTAAAATGATAAAAAGATTTGCAAACTTTCATGTTTCCCCAATTTAATTTTGGCTATGCCTGAATGTGATTCAACATAGTTACTTAATGATATAACTGTTTTGATCCTTCAGTGAAGTCATGACAACTAGTGGCGTAAGTCCACAGTTCTCAGCAGTTGTGACATCAGCCTTTTTAATGGCACAAGTCATGTTCAGACACAGGGAAGGAGGCATGGAATTAGGATGGGACACGAGAGATGTGGAAACTTGGAAAATTCAGCCCAAGGGCTTTTGAGGTCCTCTGAAAGCTGAAGCAAGCAGCCATTGTTGGGGGAAAAAAACATCATCGTGCACACCAGCTTTCTGAAGCACTCCAACAAATAAAGTGTGTTGGTTACTCCATCTGTTTGAACAGAGAGTGTAACTAAACTGGAAATGTATGGAGCTGCACTTTTGTTGATGGAACTGAACAGCTGCCTTACTATTTTGCTGTCTGATGTTTTTGGTGGGGGAGATGGGAAAGTGACTGCCAGAGGAATGTGGTCAGAGGATTCTGTTGCTGTGGAAGAGATTCCAGTATTCACTCCTATCTCATTAGAAGAAATAGTTAGCAGCATCACTCACCAGTCTTATTCCATTACCTGCTGCTTTTAAAATCTCTGCCATTTTCTGGGAGATTGTGTTTCATTTGCTTATGCATGATTTCTGCTCACTTGCTATTTATTTAAAGCCTTTGTACAGCGGTACTATAATAATATTGACCAGCCTGGAAAACTTCACTGGTTTTTATCCCGTATTGGAGAAAACAAAATAAGGCCTGTGCTATATGTGCAGTGCAAATGTTTTCTGGCAAGATCCATTTCTACCTAATTTTTCTTTTAAAATGTAAGATAGAAAAGTCATATTTTCAGGATTAGCAGGCAATACACCATGATACTTTAAGCCATAGTTTATATCTTCGTTGTGATACTGGCAAGTAGAATTATTTTAAATGCTGCAGGGTTCATCAAGCAGCATGCTGGATTAGCAAGGTGGAATGTTTTGAAAACCATTTTGTCAGTCACTCAACAACGTGGGACATTGCCCTGTTGAGTCCAGATTCTACTAGCATTAAAGCCACGCCTGATTATATAGTGGAACCTGTTAATTCAACTTACCATAAATAACAATTTTTTTAAGATTACACTTCATGTTGAATACATTCAGGTAGAACATTTAAATCTGTTAACAATGACTATCAGCTTGATGCCTTTAATGTTGTTAAACTGAGTCTGTCATCTTACCTCAGCCACTTAAAACTTAAGCCTCAAACTTTCATTTGATTCTTTGTGTTAACTAGATGTACAGTCCTTTGCTTTGATGATGTGATCCATGTTTTTCGCTCCCCACTGAAATAAATGTAGTAAAGGAGCATGCTTATTTACTTATCACAAAATTGTACACGGTTGTGATCATTTGAAAAGTCAGCATTTTAATTAGAAATTAAAGGTATAGGGCTTGGGTTTTCTTTTATTTTTATCTCTTAGAAATTATGCTTTTCAACAGGTATTTGATCCTATTGTATATTATTATTATTATTACTACTACTACTACTACTATTATTTGCATGGTTTAGTAGAGAGGTTTTTCATAATTACATCAGCTATCACAAAAGGCAGCCTATTACAACTGAAATGGATTTGGAATAATTTTGGAGAACCTGGAGCTCTTAGCACAGGAAAATAATATAGTGGCATTTTTTGCAGAAATGGGTTGACAGTCCTGTGTTTTGACCAGTATGGAATTGAGAAGAAAACAAAAAGGCAGCAAATGAAACGATATGCTTTTTTTAAAGAAGCAAAACAGTTTACTTACAAGTTTAGAAAAATAATTCTTAATTGAGAATCAGGATATTAAATTTTAACAAGCCTTATGTAAACATGCTTATCTACAATAGGCCCCAATTAAGTTGTTGATTATACTAATTTTGTAACACAATATTATATGTGTATTTAAAAATCCAAAAATTATGGCTTTTGAAAATGTTTATAAATTAAACATGTTGTTTCTGTTTATAAATATGATTTATAAGCTTTTTTAAGAGTAAAGCTCCAATAAAAAATTGTTAGTATTTTTCTAAAATGTGCATTGCTGTATTTTACATAAAAGTTTATTTATAGTTGGTTGTAATACTGTACCCTACATTTTGGACAGCTTATAACCCTGCCAATGTATTTAAATGACATGTCACTTTGTCTATTTAAAATTTCTTGCTGTGAATGAACTCTTTTATCTAATGAGCTGCTTTATTTATAATTCTGGAAACCAAAATGGATAATGTACAGTTTTCATAACTGTATTTGCTCTAATAAAAAAAAAAAGAATTGGTTACAAATGTGTAGATGTCCTTTATTTTCTCTCTCTCTTTACAGAAGCCAGGTCAGTGTTTTATGCATTTTCCTTGCTTTTTTTTTTTTTTTTAAGGAAAACATGGATAGTTTACAAATGAAACACACCTATCTTAACTTACAAGTTCAGCTTTATTTTGGATATGTAGACAATGTGTCGTATTAGGTTCCCTTGGAAATCAATGTATGAAGGGACAGAAATATACACTTTTATAATGCTATCCTCCAAAATACCCTTCATTCATTGCACTCAGTGAAGCAAAACTTGATTCACTGAGTGGATGCTATACTTGCTCTATCTATCTTCACTCTTTATCCTGATGTAAAGTTATGGGAGAAAACAGAATCTATGTGTAGCCCTTCAAATTCTATCTACAAGAGGCATTTGGAGTGCACAAGAGTATGAACATCTGTAACACCTTAAAGCTGCCACATCTTTTCCTGGGCCTGGTTGACTGAAATTGCTGCTTCCTACAAATAGACAAGCTCTTATTTACAAACCTGGGTCGATCATATACTACATTATACACTAATTTTATATGGTCCTATCTTATTCTTTTTACAAGATTTCAGAATATCTTCTGCCTTTTCGGGATGGGACACAGTAACAATTGGCACCTGGAATGAGAAGGAAAAAAACTTGCTGTAATCCAAGACTAATTAAATGTGCTAAAGGCTCTTAGAGCCCCAGAGAACTTCATTCTGTGTTGGAGATACAGCGGAATTAATAGGCCAGCCCCAAGGAGATTTGTGAGTAGATAAATAGGTTGTCTGCTGGTGGAAGCCAAGCAATGGAGTGAGATTCTGTGTAGGAAGGCCTTTTATTGCTAAAAGCATAGCTCCCTTCTCAATCAAAGGACAGTGCCAAGATCTGCTTGTGTGACGATGTATCTCAGAGAACTAGGCTGAACATTTTCCTTAATGAGTTTTATTTTTAAGAAGGCCAAAGGAAAAGGTTTAACTTCCCCTTTCCATGCTCAGAAGTCCTGATCCAGATCAGCCCTTTCCGTGCTTATCCTAGAATAAAGTAAAACCATTGTCTGGGATGCATTTTACTTATCGTGGTTGGCAAATGGCTGACCTCTTCTAACCCTGCAAAAATAGGAGAAAGGCCAGTCCAGCTCAGATGGTGATGTTTGGCGTTCTCCTTTTTAACTTTTGAAAGAACGGCAATGCCAATTGTTCATGTTCAGGAAAGTACTTTGTTTAAAGCAAGTGAGCCTTAGAATAAAGGTTAGATTAAATGGTGCACGTTGCTGGGATTGTTTGTATTGATTGATTACATAAAACGTTGGGGGAAAGTACTTTTAACTCAGATTTTCCTTCTTTGAAGTCATAATATTCTAAAAGAGGTAAGTTTTCAGGTAAATAACTGACATGTTTGGCAGCAGCTCATAGTTGTTCATAGTTACAATGGCCAAACAAAACAATTTTTACATGGATCATTTCAGAAAAGACAATTTAACTGCTTAGCTCTTCTACCAAAAATGCATCTTGTGCCAAATTATAATCAGGCATGTGTGAAGTAATGCATACTCTAGGAGTTTAATAAAAAAAGGTGTGATGCCTGATTTTTTTCTCCCTGCACTCAATCTACAATTGCTTATTATTATTCTTTTTTCTCATTTCCATGTGACTGATTCCCTGATGATGATTCATAGCTATAGAATTTATTCAATACTAGAAGCCACTAAAGCAGTGTTCCTCAACCTTGGCAGCTTGAAGATGGGTGCACTTCAACTTCTATGGCTGGCTAGGGAATTCTGGGAGTTGAAGTCCACCCATCTTCAAGCTGCCAAGGTTGAGGAACACTGCACTAAAGGACCATTTATCTTGAGATTTCAGAACTGTCAGATTCTATCTGTTAAAAACAATATGGCCATCAAAGGGGACCCATTATTGTGATACTGATAAAAGTAATCCTTTGTCCAAGATGTTCGCCTCCCTAGCCAGTTGTGCATAGCAAGTTGTATGGCATGGAGCAGAAATTAGTATGTAATGAGTTAAAATTCTAGACTACAGAATCCATAAATATAAAAATAAGGTTTTCTGTACACTGTATGTGTCCATCTATTCTTTTGCACATCCACTAAGCCAATACATTGTAGATCTCTCCCAATCATTTTTAATTTTCTTGCTCCCAGATTAGTAAAGTTATGTCTATAAATTCTGAAACCAGCAAAGGGCAAAACTGGATGGTTAAATGAATTCTGACAAAAACTGAAGGAAATTTTGCAGAGACGATTTAGCCATAATTAGTGGATTATTGGGTTTCTAAATGCTCTGAGAAAAAAGCAGTTCCCAGATGGTAAAATTAAAATTTGGAACAATTTTTTTCTGCCAGATGGTCTGTGCTGTTTTCTTTAATCCACTTTTTCCAGCTGTCCTTTAGGCATCTGAAATATTGTTAAAAGGACTACAGTGTTTCTGGAAGAGGGGATAACTAGTTTTGCTATATCTTGAGACAGTAAGATACCATCCTACTTTATTATGCTGCAGCTATAAAAATGAATCTACAGCATTAATTAACAGATAAATGCTTTTATTTTAAGCATAAACCACCTTCCACAAATAAGAATTCCCTTTGTGGGTCTCTTTATCCCCATGCTTTTAAAAATGCATGCACCTGCCACATTGCTCCATGGTGTTTGTATCAAAAAAGAAATTTGTGCAGGTGCCCTGATGCATACAAGTTTGTTGAACAAAGCATCCCTTTCTGACATTTGCATGAATATACTTGTGAAACCAGGAACCAATTCAAGAATTTCTAAACTGAAGTAGCCTGAAAAAAGCACTTTTATGCGATATTGGTTTTGGTATGTGGGAATGGCTATTTTAGAATAACAAATAGGGATTAATTAGTTCAAGCTCACCCTCAAAACTTACAAATAGTGCAGTGTAATTAGCTCAACTAGAATAACACTTATAAGCAGCATGTTCAAGTATTAACTTTATTTTACATGCGCAAACAAAAAGAGAGAATGCAGAACTTACTCACTGTATGAGAAGAAAATAGATTGGCTTAAGACAATATGTGAATCCATACATGAATGGGTTAAGAGTCAGAGATAATAACAGATGTACTCTGGGCAGTGGGAAGAGATATAAAATTGTGCTCTTACCAAAATCAAACAACTAAAAGCAGTCAAGGAGAACTACTGCAAATAGTTTATGCAATAATTTACATTTTAGGAGAATAGTAATATTTCATATTTGGATGATCCCCTAATCAGGCTCTGAATTGGTTTCTATTAATTGGATACAAAAGTCTATCTTTCTGGATTTTTTTTTTCAATCTAATTAGCACATACCTGTCCTTAAATCAACCAGTGCCATAGATATATGAATAATAGTAACCAAAGACAAATCAAACATTCTAAGTTATAAAATCTAAACCAAACATAAGACAACACAATACGTGTGTGTAGAAAGATGGCAAATCTTTATTTCAGCCTAACCAAAAGTGTCATGGAAATTGGTGCTTATAGGAATTAAGTCCATACACATCAAAAACCCATTTGTCTTAGAACAATAAAATTTAGGACATCATTTTTATGGCACTTCTTACTGGCCATGAGCTAGCATGCTTTCTACTATTTCTATTTCATGAAAGCATTGATTAACTGGATGTGACAGTTGTGGGTTCAATTTTTAGCTTGATCCCAACGTTGGCAGGAAGACCCACACAAATATGGTAAAACAGTGGGAAGATTGTGGGCAATATGAGCTGATATTCAGAGTATCTCAGCAAGATAAGAACCGCATCAAGAGCATGCTATAGAATCACATGTCCAGCCCAGCACTTTTCTTTCTGATCTTCCTGTCCCCTGGCCAGAAATAAGAGTGAGTGCTGCCAGGTTAACTTTCCTATTTTTATTTTGACATAATTATACTTCAGGACACTCACTTCTTTTTATGATCTAGGAGCACAATAATTCTGTTGTTTCAGAACTCCCAATGCAAGCCATGCCAAAGGTAAAATAAGGTTAACTAAAATTGAATATTATCTTGCTGCTGATTAAAAGCTCTCTGAATAGCAACTGTGATGTTAGTTTGCTACTACTAGGTAGTTGCATCACTCTTATAATAGAAGTTGCTCTTATGCACATATCAAAAGAACTACGTGCTGTAAGAAAGAGGAACTGCTGTCCAAGATATGGAGTTCGTTCTCTTCCGTCCAGAGCTGCCCACAAAAATGGCAGCTAGGTATTGAGTTCTGCCTCCCTCTGTATAATGCTCAGCTTTTTTTTCCCTGCCTCTCAGATGCAGAGAGGGAGAGGGACAAGGAAATGTACTAGTTTCTGCATGTTTCTACTGTCAACCACTGTTATCGTTCAATGATTTATAATAAAAATATAAAACACCAACACAATTAAAATAACCTTTATAACTAAACCACTAAAACTTGGTCCAAATGATTACCTAGCAGCAGCTCCCTTGCAAAAATCTAAATAAATAAACTGTTCTCCTGGGAAAGTTCATCATAGGCCTGCTTGTTTTGACACCTTTTGTTAGAAGATCTGGTCCACCCACAAACTCAAAGAGAGCAGCTTTAATGTAGGAGGATTATGTACGAATACTTGTATTACAGAGAAGCGTATAGAGTATTACATTAAAACAGTGGAGACTCATGTTCAAATCCCTCTTTAACCACTGAGCTAAGTCCCTAAATCCTACTTTACAGGGTTGTTTTGAGAATAAATTGATGGAGGACCACTGTACGTGTTTTCCTGTGCATATGATGTAAGGGAGAGGATAGCGTGAGGGAATTTTCCAAAAGATATTGTCATATAAAAATCAGCTATTTATCTTGCCTATTAAAAGAAAACTGAAACAACTACTACCTTAAAGAATGGAAACGATTGATGGACTATTTGCAAAATGCAGGTGGGGTGAAGCTTACATGAGGATTTGAAGATTAG